GAAGGCGGCCCCAGTTAAAACTGATGGTGGACGTTAGGGTAATGAATTTATGAACGGGGTATTTTTCTCGGCTCATATGTGGTTACTAATTAAGTCCCATGGGCCTCCAAGTAGGCTGAATCTGAACATGACAATCCTGAAGGTACTACGGCATGCACTTCAAATACGAGAAACTGGTGCAGGAGGGCCAGGAAGACAACAAGGAGCTCAGTTGTTTGCCGAAAAGGGGGTTTTACGAATGTTTGGGTACAATAATGCCGATCAAAGGGTATTGAGATTGCAACAGGAACTGTCCACCGCGATGTTTCAGTGTGCGGGCACAGGGTGGCACCAGACTCTTGAGTGAGCATAAGCCTGAAAAGCGAGCTGATAGCCAAGCTGCGCAAAATCTGTGCTGACCTGAACAACGAGGATGCCTGAGTCGTGAGCTTTGTTCTGTGATGTTGGATGACATGCGGTGTGGGACATGGACTTGTTGCTTGTGCTTTGATGTGCACATTTAGCAGAATAAGGGGTCCACCTTACACGAATGACCTGACACGCCAGGATTTTTCCAAGCACTGGGTCCAGACCTTTGCTGAGACATGCCCCACCCTGTAGCAGAGTATATATTGGTAGCAACCATTAGTCAAAGTGATAATGGTTTAAGACCACTAGCAGTGATTCTTGTACTAACACTCCCAAAGCTACAGAAGACAACCAACTTCGAGGACGACCACTTGCACAAGTGGAAGACTGATGCTCTGGGTCAACAAGGCTGTCGGAACTTCGAGCGCCCTGCCTGTGAAAGCGAGAAACTGCCCAAAACAAGCATCGCGGGTGGAACGACTTTGCTTAAAGGAATCTATCTTGTACTGGTCGTAGGAGCTTCAGATACGGAAATATGGAAGCCTGGGGGTGAGCAAAGCATGTGAAGTTTTGGACCTCGGATTTATCTTGGTCAGCACATTTGCTGCCCTTTTTGAACCTCCAGCAAACATGAAAACACTCAAAACTGCACCGCCGCTTCAAACTAACGCTGCAAGCCGGTCGCAACAGATCCGCTCCGGAAGCTGCCAGGTTGACGCGCCATCAGTGGGACCCCAGTATGTAGGGGTATATAGATATTACATGGGGTAAGAAGTAAAGGGTTACATAGGAGGAGTGGGAGAGAAATGGAACCTACTATTTACGGTCAAGGGCTTGGTGCGACACTGGAGAATCTCAATGGAAATTTTGGAATCTGGGATTATGTTAGGGTTTGTGGGGATGCTTGCCGATATTATGGTCCTAGGTTCCTCATATCGTCATTGAGAAACAAGCCTTTTCCAAAGGAGCCAAGTAATGATTGAGATCTTCGCTAGAGTCCCGATCAGCAGGGGCTTACAAAAACGTTCACCCTAAGATCCTTGAGACAAAAATGGTTAGAGCAAATCCGCCAAAATATAGAACGACAGGTAGTAGTTGCAGCGGCGGCGTCGGCGGGTGCTGGTGCTGGTGCTGGTGCTGGTGCTGGTGCTGGTGCTGGTGCTGGTGCTGGTGGCGGGGGTGGCGGTGGAGGTGGCGATGACGGTGGCGGTGGCAGCATGAGCTGCTGCAGTGGTAGTGACAGCTTGACAGCTGCTGTGGTGTTATCAAGGATACAAGCGGAGCAAAACACATCTCAATCTGACCTTTCCTGAGGTTCTTCCAAGTGCAGAAGGTCAACGTGCTCCTTCCTGACAAGGACAGCAGTCATTTGCATTGCGTGGGCACAGGGAACCCGGAGGGATTCGCTTGAGCAGCAATCCCGCCACCGAGTATCGAAAACACAGAATCCACGAAATCATCAGCTATGTTAAGGATTTCGTGCGAAGAGGATTGAGGATCTACGGGCTTGTCTCATGACAATCTTTCCGTCACGCCCCAGCCGACACTTCAAAACACAATCATTTGCAGTTTTTGCAGCACTCCTCTGTATCACAACTGTAGCTATGGCTTCGCGATTCAAATCGGGACCTTGCTTACATCGTAGCAGTATTGTAACTTTACTTGTGTCCTTGAGAAAGTCAGAACATTAATTTTGAGAAGCAAATATGGGCGCTTGAACAGTTGCTATCCATGATTCTGTCTACGTATATCTCTTAGATGAATGCGATACATTGAAATTAGCGGCTGGCCTCAACCAATGTATACTCAGACCTCCACATACCAATAATAAGGGCTTTTAACTCACAATAACACGTATACAGGCTATGACTCTGGGTGTTTGGAGGGTTCAGGTATTAACCCCCAGGCTCCCCCAAGTTGAACGTAGCAACTCTTTGTGAAGTAGGTCTTCTCTGTAGCTCCAAGGGTCAGCGTTCAAGGGACCATCCATCAGTTGTTGTTTCGGGGCTAGGTAGGGAGAACCAACTTCTAACCAAGTAATATCCGCTTATCTCTTATTCTTGCTGTTGTTCAAATGCTTGCGTTTTGTAATACGCAGCGAATGCAGCGTTTTGAGCGAAGCTGGAGGCAAACAGCCCCGAACCCCGAACTCTAAGGTCATTGGAAACCTCACACAAACTCCCCAGCCGTGGGTAATCCGCACTTCGTGTGGTAAGCGCAACTTTGAAAGGGTCGAATTCAGAGACAAAGCCTACATGGGTAGTTCCCAAAATGAGGGGGGGGGGCCCATAAAATAAGGACTATAGTATTTGGAGGTCTATATTGGGGTCCCTTTTTTTTGGTAAACTACCACATGCGGGTCTCCTTACCAGTCCTCTTCCCAGTCCCGCCCATTGGTGCGCCCTCACAAAAGACTGCAGGAGATTCTGCAGCCCTTCATTGCCATCCGTGTGCTTGAAAAGCCTGTGGAGCTCTTTCCTGGTACATCACTGCAAGTCAAGCCCTTCGGGGACGAAGGGACGCCCGGCAGAAATGTAATGGCTTCAACTCTAGAATGAGAACATCGTTGAATTTGTTGTCTTTGCTTTTGGTTTGCATTTTTTGGAGAGAAACCTAACCCAACTAGATTGTCTCTGGTTACTTTCTGAGGGAAGCAAGATAGTATGTATAGCTGTGCTGGGACGGACCCCATGCAGGGTCGTATAGGAACCGCGTAGACGTTCTGGGGCTGCAGCACAGGTACCAATGGTATTTACCACCATTCAGGAGCATGTCTGTAGCTGTTTTGCAGAGAGTCTGTTTGCTACCTGGCCAGAACTTCCCCTGCTTTCTGACTCAAGACTAGAGTGTCTTAATCTCTGGGCCATGTTCAACTTGACAGCAGCCGAGGACACTCATCGGGGAAAGCCGGCAGAGCCTGAACAGCCTGTACCCTTGCACCTGGTATGAGGGTGTGACCCTTGAGCAGCCCTACACCTACCAGGAGCTTTCAAAAGCAGAAATTGGTGTTTGATGGCAGCATGGGCAAGGTTAAGAGAAGGGTATGGAAGGGGTCAGGCCGGCAATTCCTGTAAGGAACCATGCGCTGCCCTTCATTACTCAGTATCGGGTCAGCAATGTGTTCGACCCTACATGATTTCTTGACTTGACCTCCTGATTCCTTGGCGGTCTCCAACCCTCCCATCAGAATGCTGAGCTCCTACTGTTGCAAATTTGGTTGCCTGCATGGATAAGCCATGAATTGCGATTCACACCCAACTCTAGTGCATCCTTGCTACTCCGTCAGCCCCCCCCCCTGTCTTGCCGAACCAAGCCAAGTGTGTTGCGTCAGAGCTGGCACTATCCGCACCCGCCCCACCGGGGCTTGCAACACTTAAGGGCCCTTTTTTGGAGGTACCGAGATACTTATGATAAGGATTGTAGTATATTGGGGATCGATGTTTTGTGGAAGTCCCCAATAAGTTGCATCGGAGTCTTTTTTCGGCTTCATGGGTTGGGTTTGGATTGCTAGGCTTTCATGGAAGTGCATCTGACTATTCAAGTGGGCTGCAGAAATCCTCACAGCTTGAGAAACCAGGAGATCAGGATCAAGCGAGGGGTGGATCGCGCGATCAAAGCCTGCGCCTCCAGGTGGGCCTCTTTAGTGAGGTCTGGGGTTAAGGGACCGTATTGCAATACCGTAATGTCTTGGGAGTTCCTTGTTTCTGTCTCCTTCAGGCTTGGGACTCAAGAGCACAAGAGGAAGACTTCGAGGGTATGACGAAACCTGAAAACGTCTCCTCTGCAAATTTCAAGCTGCCCTTGAATTCTACAGCCAACTGCGCAGCTATGATGCTGATCGACTTCACATGCCCTTCATGATTTTATGATTTTGGCCTTCCGCATGTCAAGTTGACAAGAGCATGTATCAAGGCCTCTTGCATTTCAAGACTGCAAGGCTGGCCAACTTCAATGCATAAGTTTCAAGAACCACGCTTCTATTATGATCTCTCAACAATTCCTCCCAGATTACTGATAATTACTAAGAGCACTACAAGTACCGCGTTTCTGTCATGACATGTTGCTCCCCCGCGGTCCAGGTCGATCTTCCAGGAGGAGTCTGCAGAGGAGCGGCATCGTGCATGATCTCTTTGTAGACAGTGATTCGAAAGAAAGCCCATAAGTTGGTGTAATGATGGCCGGCAAGCCTTAACTAGCGCAGAGCCTTTGACCTACAGCGGCAGTGGTTTAGCGTTTGCGGGTTTCATCAATTTTGGTACGTGCATCCAGGACCAACAGGATCCTGATAAACAATCTGGGAAAGTGTCTTATAGCGTAGAGACAAGCTGAAACAAACGATGGTCTTCGACTGTCCTGTCAGACACTTGGGAGCCCAGGCGTCATTCAGGAGAACGTCCCTACACAAAGTTGAAAGGAACATAATACGAGGGCAAATCAGTTAAGAGTGCTCAATCCATGCAGATCTTCCATCCCCAGAACCGGCATCACCAACATCAACCCTAAAAAATGAATAGCGCCACACCCTGAACCATCGCTAACCCAAAACCCGAAGTTCTATAGAACGTCTCTCTCTCTCTCCCCCCATATACAACCTGTTAAGGGGAGCAAACCCAAAGCCCTGCCCAGCCCTTTGCTTTGCCCCAGGAGCGAGCTAAAGGCCTCCAAGCCGAAAAGGAGGCAAGAAGGCAGGAACAGCTGGACTACATGAAGTCGCTGAACCCTGGCTGTAGGTGTAGAGTTTAGGGGTTTGGGGTTGGTCTTGGGGTTGGGAGATTCAAAACATTAAGTCCAATAACCTTGTTTGATTCGTTCGTGCTGTTTCGAGGGGGAACTTCAGGGCCAAGGGTTTCACTTGTGCAGCCCCCGAACGTTCAGCCAGAGAGCGATTGAAGCCAAATTGCAAAAGCGTTCCATCCGAGAGCGGTGGCATCCAGCCGCCTGCGTCAGGCTTGCACACTGAACAGTTTCTTTTACAACCATCGCAAGAACCCTTGATATTTGCACACTGTTGCGGAACGCTCCAGCTGGCTGACATTCTGGCAACACAGGGTGCTGTAGTGGCCAGAATCCAGCCCTGAGCTTCGGCTCTGCTAGGGCTCTAAGCCTAAGGCTTATTTATGGGAGTCAATGTGCTTAGGGATGATCAAAATATACAACAATCCATACAAAAAGGACGCTGCGGAGTTGGGTCAGGCGTTAGGGAGTCTTCCGGAGCTGTCGCCATCCGTACATACATGCGTGCATGCATACATACATACAAAGAGGTACACGCCTTCGCAGAACGTGTGTACACATTGCGGTACATGTATTAGTAAACATATGTATGTGTATGTATTTTCTATATATCATATATGGGGTCACTTGCCTTCCTCAAAGGATCAGCATGGAGGAGGAGAAGGCGGAGAAGATTGACTCCAGGGCCATGCCATTGGAACTGAGGCCCCCGGTGCTCTTGTTCCGCGTAGCATGGATTTAGGGTTCAGGATTAGCCCTAGGGATTCACATAGCCCACTATAGGTCATATCTACAGACTTTAGGGCTCAATGTAGGTATTATTTGTATACTTCGATCCCGAGATTAGGGCTTAGAGTAAAGGGGTGCAGAGTCCAGGATGCGCGATCGACGCTGCAGTCGTGTTTCTCGTGTTTGCTCCTTCCTTTGGCGAGTCTCTGTCCCTTCTTGAGTGCATCACGAAAAGACGACCCTGTGAGGCCTTATAAGGCCATCTACAACCCCAATGGGCGCCTGGGCATGAGGTTGACACATCTTGCGGGAATCTTCATGTTGGGGGGCTGGTACGAAGCCCTTAACGCATTTCTCCCTGTCCAAGGTCTGTTGCATATGCTTACCCCGACTATAATATACCATAATATAATGAATATAATGGTATATACTGTAATGTTCACCTCATAATAAGAAACCCCCCCCTCCCCCCCCACCCCCCCGAGGATGTGGGCCCAAGCCTCCGTAATTAAGGGTATCCAGGTCCATGAGCTGAGCTCCAGTTGTCATAGCCCATAGAAGTAGAAGCCAGTAGTACACATTGCTTTTCGACGCTTCCAAATCTTTGGGTTTTGGCTGATTGGATTTTGCAATTACGGCGGGGTTTGTAATTACGTTCTGGCATTTGGATTTTGCAATTACGCGGGGGTTTATTAATATGAGGTCAACATTAGTACACTTTAATATGGGCTGAAACTGTGGCGTTTGGCTTTGGATGCTTAGGCTCCGTAAGCTTTGTAGTGCGTTTGAGGTGTGCATTTTCAGGTTTCATTCCAAGTGCTCATGCAGATAGGCTTCGGACGATGTGGTCAGGAATGGGTGTGGAGTAGGCTTGGTCTTTGTTTCCTGTATATGCTGAGGGTTGATTGCATATTTGACATGAGGTAGTGCCTCCTCATTTTCCTGGACCTTGATTTCAAAGATCCCTGAATTTCAAACTCGCAACCATGCCTGTGGCACACCACATGGCGCCGGGCCCATAGTTTACAAACACCCCAGCTGCAGCTGAGGTTTATGCCCAACATGAAGGAAGTGCTGCGGGTTCGCGAGGAGCATGCGCTCAACATGGAGCACCTGACCCTCTGGCTGAAAAGAGCAGTTTTCTCATTATCCAATTATAATGAGTTATATACCCCAAAGGTTATATAGGGATTATAGGGTATATACTATACTACATTGCGGCTATATATATATATATAGTCCAGGTTCAGGTTTAGAGTTTAGGGCATTCTAGAAGCCTTACTACATAATGTCAAGTTCTTTGTTTAAGCATGGTTGGCAGCAACTGGACTCTGGATTAGCTCCAGATTTCAGACATCCCATGCGTAACGCGTTAGGGTTTCTATGGGAGCTACGTAGAGGGATATAGGTGGAATGGAAAAGAAAATGGAAGCTACTTGTTCGAGTCTAGGGCTTCGAAATATCAACCCCATTAATGAAGAATCAGATGGAAAAGAAAATGGACAATGAAATGGAAACTCGGATTACAGGGATTATGTACTGGTTTGTAGGGTTTCCCGACATCAGTTGTGTTTTCTTGGGGTCCCCATAATACGGATTATAGTATAGAGGGGAGTTTATATCCGGGTCAACTACCATATAACTGTCAAGACCTTAGCGCGCTTCATATAGTTGCTCCAGCATCTTCCGGTACACAGTTTATCGCCAATTTAGACAGGCGCCAGGAGAACACGTAGCTTCCCATGCCTTTGATGAGTACTAAATGCCCCAAATCCCTAAGCCAAGAACCCTAAGCCACCATCCAAGAGACTGAGCCCTAAACCCCTGAACCCTAAACCCCAAACACCCTGGGCTCTTTTAACCCCAGGCGTAGCTTTCCAACTTGCTTCGGGGAGCGGTCCAACAAGGATTCCGACGGCCAGACAGGTCTCAGACTGCGAGGCCACGAGAAGGGTTAGGCTTTAGGGTTTTTGGTTATATTAAGGTTATATATTGGGATAATGGAAAAGAAAATGGAAACTACAGGGATTATAGGGGCTATATAGGAGTTATATTGGAGTTATATAGGGATATTGGAGTTATGTAGGGATAATGGAAAATAAAATGGAAACTGCTACAGTATTTTAGGGGTCCCTTTAAAGGGGTTGTATAGGGATTATTTTGGTGTTATATAGGGATGATGGAAAATACAATGGAAACTACTCTTTAGGGTTTACCTATAACAGGTTCGCTTCCAGGGACAGATCTTGGGGTGCAGGAGACTCCAGCAAGCGTACAAGACAGGCTTCTGCTTTACTGCACTTCGGAAAACGCTGGCCAGCTTGGCATATCAGGACCATGTCTGAAAATGCTTCGCTTCTTTGTCAAACACAGTTGTGCTAGCACTCGCTGCTTGTTTTTGACGAAACGATGCGCCATCGTTTCGTCGCATATTTTAGCTCTTCGCGAGCTGCATGTTTTACTCTCTGTTGCGAAATGCTAGCCGGCATGGCACATTCTTACCATTCCGTTCTTGCAAGCAGTGGTGCCTGCGCATCTTTTTCTCGTGTTGCGGAACCGGGCTTTTCTGGCCTGTCGGTAGCGTTCTGGTTCTGGGGGGGGGGGGGGTAAACCACGTTCGTAGAGTTAGCTTCTCGCATGGAATCCCTGTCTTAAGCAAGGTATTCTCAAGACAGAAGTATCTTCAGACATGGCAGCGTTTTCAGACATGCCGGCCTACAGAAAACCTATCATTTTGCGCTGGCGAGGGATCACCTAACCATACGAGAGGTCAACGACACCATCTTGTGATCTTAAAAGAGGACTGTTCAAAAAATGATCTCAATCATACCTACAAGGGACCATTGCATGGCACACATCATGACAAACAAGTATGTTTTCCAGCATGTTCCAGCGCTCTGGCAACACAACAAGACCCTGCAAAACCTGAACGCATTTCTGTGCCAAAAACATGATCCTCTAAAAACCGACGCAGAAGCCTCCCTGCAAATGAACCGGCCGGGAGGGTTGGGGTGTTGCACTTGGAGGGTCGGGGGGGGACGTAGTAAGTAGGTTAATAAACGCTATAACCCGCATAATTGCCCTACTTATCCCTGTTATTAACCTACTTACGAAGTCCCCTTGACCCTCCAAGTAGGGTTTGGGATCGAGGGTTTACGGCTTAGGAATTACCGGGATACTGCCCCTACCGTATAAAGGTTCTTAAACTTGCTCAGCTTGTACCTGGGCTTGTTACAGAGATGGTTATCAAAACGAAGAGTGCTTTTTGGATCGTAGATGCTGTTTATAGCGATTTGG